CATGAAAGTCTGAGGAAAGCTGGAAGTTAGGCTCCACCCATGGTCAGTATACACTTCTAAACCAGCACCGTCCAACAGAAATTAAGAGTTTTTAATTTTTAATTTTCTAGATTATAGATTTTTCTAGACAATATATTTTCCAAATTTTCCAGGTATTTCTAATTTTCTAAATTTTGTAAATAGAAAATGTTAATTTCCAAATTAAAATTCTAAATTTTAATTTTTATTAAAAACAGTAAAAGGAGAAATTAATTTTAATCATATATTTTACTTAATTCAATATATCCAAACATTATCATTTTGACACATAATCAATAGGAAAATTATTGAGATATTTTACATTCTTTTTTTTTTTCATATTAAATCTTCAAAACCCTACATATATTTTAACCTTAAAGCACCTCTCATTTCAGATTAGCAAATTTCAAGTGCTCAACAGCCATGGGTGGCTAGTGGCGCCTATATTGTAAGCACAGGAAAACTATTTCCATCATTGCAGAAAGTTCTATCGGACAACACAGTCCAGATCAGAGTCTGACAATCTTTCAGAGTAGCAGGAAAATGTTTCAGTGCTTTTTCTTCTGACGCAAATGGGGTGGTAATCAAAGGAAGAGAAAGAAACTCTTGTATCTTTCTAGAAGGCACTGTTTTCATTTATCAGAGAAGAGGGCAAAAGGAGACCTGCTATTTGTGAGGGTCTTTGAGATGGGCTTTTTTTTCATCGTGATACAACATGTGACATGTGTCAAGAGCACAGATCTAAGTGTAGAGCTCGACAAATGTTTACATATGTATAAACCTGTATAACCCACCCAATTCAAGAGGCTGCCATTTCCAGCACCCCAGAAGGCTCCCTTGTGACTCTGCACTGTCAATATCATATCCCAGAAATAACCACTATTCTGACTTTTATCATCGATTAGTTTTGCCTGTTTTTGCAGTTCCTATGAATGAATGGACTCAAACAGTCTGTACCTTGTATGTCTGACTTATTTCACTCAACTCAGTGTCTGTGAGATTTTGTTCTATAAGTCTGATGAATTTCAGTAAAGTTCCAGAGAGACTGGAAGAACTCCTTCTTCAGTTTAGACCAATGAAAACCCTGTCTGCTGTAGCACCATCTCATTCGTTTTATTCACCAAGGTATTGATGGTCCATGAGGAAACAGAAAAATATTGAGGCACCTAAGATTCTGGCCCTGGTGCCTGAGAAATCAAGGATTTGCAATCTAGCAAGACTGATGGGATCAAGGGCTCTGGTCATCACACTCCCTCTGATCAACATCCGGTGACCTGTGATGGAGACAGAAACTCTTGGATGGGAATGTGGCACTAGGCCTGGTAGGACTTTTTCAGATTTCCAGCTCTTAGGCCATGGCCAATAAGTTTCCATTGGCCTCCATCTTTCCCACCTAAGACCCCAGTCAATCGTCTCTGCCCTTTTCTTACCATTTCTAAATTCACTTTTCTGGGTCTGGGGCCTGAAACCTCAAAGAAACCTAAGAACCAGGCTTCTTCCCCATTCTGATTCATTGTATCTGGTGGAGGGTTCAAAGCTGTGCCAGGGACCAAGCCATGTGACGGGTTCTCAGATGGAAACGACCTCAGAGGATCTCACCACAGTTCCCTCCTCCCTCTCATGGCTGCTGAGCCTCATGAGCCTTACCTGTGGCTTCTTGTCCCTCTCCTCTGGGGATGGGTCTGTTTCTCTGTATACGACAGCTTTGGTTACCAGCATGTCAGGATGCTGCAGTTTGGCCTCCTTGATGGCCAAAGCCAGGGCCTGGTGGAGAAGAACAGCAAAGTGAGGAAACATTGAATATCAAATATGGGAGAGACCACAGAGACCGACAAGCTGCTTAGTGCACAGCTGGGGAAACAGAGGCCCAGGGAGAGGCTGTGATCAGAATGAAAGGGTCTTCTGGCTCCTTCTGGTTCCCATTCAATGCCCACTCCTTGCTGGCCCCTTATCTGAACAGGGTTAGCAGAAGTGGACATCTTCTAAGCCCACCAGGGCAGCCATCCATGGGTAACCCAATATGGCAGGGACTGGGGACCGGCCAGTGCCACTGGGAATAATGTTCCTTATCCTCATACCTGGTCTTGATCAACATCTTCGTCCCCAGTAATAATGATTCGCTTCTCGATCCTCGTCTCAGAAAACCCTCCTTTCACAGTCTGCAGAGGGAGAGGGAGGCAAGGTCAGCTTTGAGTCCTGCTGGGACAATAGCCATGAAAGGGGACTTATCCAAAGTATCTCTCAAGGGCATGGCTGGAACCAGCAGTCACCTGCTCTCCTGGCCCCCTCAAGTTTTTTCCTTTTCTGGTTTTGGGACTTCAAGTGACAGATCTTGCCTGCTGGCTACCACTGCCCCAACTACCAAACTGCCTGCTCTAGATCTTCCACGCTCTGGTCAAATGCTGTCTCAGCCTCCCTGACCCTGGTGGGTGATCCTTCCACCTTCCTGCCTCGGTACTTCCTGAGCACCAAGTTCGTATCCCTCATGGTTCCGTGCCAACATTTTGTATGGGACCTGACATTGCTCACTAGGCTGGAGCTCTTGAAGGCAGGGGCTATCTTTTGTTCATCTCTGTATCCCTTCCTCGCCAACCACCCTGTCCAACCTGACCAGGGCAGGTGCTAAGTGCAGATTTGTTGAATGAACACATGAATGAAATGTGAATGGTGACAAGGTTCTACCTTAAATGACTTCAAACAACACTACAAGAGAAATTTCGTTGATGAAACTGACAACCACCACTGTTTTCCGAAGGGACGGGTTTGGGTGTGAGTTTAGAAATGGGGCAGGACCTAATTGCTTGACATATTAAAAGAGGGTGGTGGCTGAAGGAAGTCCCAGCTGGAGTCAGGAGTGGACAGAAAGAAGAGGAGGCTCCCAACTGGCAGGGCCAGGAGGAACTTGGGGAAGAAGAGTTTTCTGCGTTGTATGCAGTGGGGTGTGTGATGGAAAACCTTCCCATAAAGCCTTCAGTGAAGTCAACATTGCGCACAAATGCTTTGCTGAGTGTGGGCGCTTTCTGGGGACTGTGCAGAGGTACCGAGTCCTACATAGCAGGGGGCAGGGCTGAGACAGTGTGTGTGTGTAAAGGGCCAGTGCCACCTACCAGACGTCTTTGGATGGCTCGGCAGAACCTGCAACTCAGCCGGGCTCCCTGGCCTCTCTCTTTCAGGGTTCTACCCTTCTGCCTTCCTCCTGGCCACTCAGGCATGGATGTGCCAGCCCATCCTCAGCCCTGTGTCTTCGCTGGCTGAGTCATGGCTGACTTTTTTTATGCCTCCCTTCTCAGCCCTTTCTCTTCCCTCCCTCGCTCTGACTCCCACTCTGGTCCAGGCCCTCCATCCCTAGTCTTTACATAATTCACTCTCTTCTTTCTCCCATCTACCTACACATCCTGGTGGGTCTAATCTCCTTTCCTTAAACCCCTTTTCACTGGGTCATTCTCCAGTTAAGAAACCTTGATAGCTTTCCAATGGCTCTCAGACTCAGGTCCTCCCTCATCATATTTGTCCTGGAATATGTCTTATTTGTCTCTATTCTGCTTCCCCTGGCCCCAGTCCAACCTAATTTCCCACAGTTACGCCCCCACATGCCGCTTATTCCTGGCAGAGACCGCTGCTCCTGTTTCCCACAACATGTATTGCTTACGGCCCCTCAAGTAGCCCCTCGCACAGAGGCCAGTGTAAGGTCGATGCTCACTAACATTTGCTCAGTGACAGAATAAGCGAACACACAGCTTCTGCGTCCATATTCCACATTGTGTAGAGCGTCTGTCTCTGCCTTCTTCTCCCTCACAAGTCCTACCTGGCTTTCTAAGACCCTCCACAAACACCACTTTTTCCAGAAGACCCTTCCTCACACATCGAGCCTTCTTTATACCGCCCCTCTCTAAATCTCTCCAGCACTTAAGGTCTGTAAGGCGCAAATGCCATGGTTCACTATTACTTCCAAGGAGATGGTCTCGTCCCCCAAGCCTGGCTGTCAGTGTCGAAGGGCAGGTCCATGACTAGGATAACCCGTAACACAGAACAAAGCACACAGCACTCCAGAAACTGGAAACATCAGTCTGGACAGGTCTTCTCTGTCCATGTTATAAGGCAGAGCGATGGCAATGACCTTCCCGAGCCCCACAGCCAGGCTGGGGGCATATGGCACCCTGCTGCTACTCACTTTGGTAACATGGGTGGTGGTGGAGGTGGAGAGGGTTTCCGCAGTGGCGCCGTAGGTGCTGGTGAGGACATCTTTCCCGATGATCTGCAGAATATAACCACCCCCACCCCGGGGTCAGGTGAAGACTCTGGGGTCTGCGGGGTGGGGACAGGGGTGGGATAAACCAAGGGACGAGCAGGGGTCCCATCGAGGTGAAGTTTGGAAGCCAAGATGCTATGAACCACTGAGTCTTAAGAATTCGGGAATACTGGAATCTTCAGAATGTTAGACCCACGAAATCCTCAAACTCTGGAATCTAAGATTCCTAGAACCTGAGATTCCTGAGGCTCAGAATCCTAACAAGACCCTAAAATTTAAGAATCCTGGCATCTTGGAAGAATAAACAGAGGGATCCAAGGCAGAAACAGCCCTCTTGATCCTCCACCCTCTCGGAACCACGAACACGCTCGCTCTGGGGCTAGATGATGAGAACGACAGATCTGGAGGATGCAGGAGGTGCAGGAGACTTCACAGGACAGACCCGGGCTCACGGGGCAGCCACCAACAGAGCCGGGTCAAGAGTCCAAGCCTCTGGACTCCCAGACCATTGCTCCTCCTGGTCAGTAAGGAGAGCAGATGCAATAAAGCTGTCACATCACAGGTACCACCAAGGGGAGGGGCCACTTCACCTTCACACTGCCAATGCCCTGCCTGCATGTGTGTGCGTGTGCGTGTGCGTGTGCGTGTGTGTGTATGAGGGTTGAAGGGCAATGGACGAGATTCTGGTGGGCTCCAAAAGCCCTGTGGGTCTCTGAAAATTAGGCGGCTTCCTGGTGCTGCACTTAAAAGAGGAGCCTTCTGGACTCTGTACTGCACTTGCTTGGGTCACCTGTGGACCCGGGTCCACATTCTCAGCGTGGAGCCCCCTAGCCTGAGCTGGCCCTGCCCACTTACCGGAGAAAGAGAACGGATTTCCGTGGCCACCGTCTGTGGGCCTGGGATCATGGCAGCTGCCCCCTTCCCGGACTTGAGACTGTTCTCCTGGGGAAACAATAGTGCTCAGATGGCCAGGTCTCAGGTGGGCGGGCCCCCAGGATGGCCAGAGTACATGGCCACGTAGCTCTCACAGCCACAAGGTAGAGTAGTGACATTAGAAGCAGAGAGCCGAAGGCATCCTTCAGTTCAGCCTCCTCTCATTTCTCATGCACTCACTTACTCATTCACTCATACACTCACTCACTCATCTGCTTACGTACTAATACACACACTCAGTCATTCAACAAACATTTAAAGAGTGGCTGGCATTAGGGACACTGTGGTGAATAAGACCTGGTATTGCTCTCTGCAGGCACTAACCAAGGGGCTGAGACAGTGAGGTTCTCGTCCTGGCCTTGCCACATTCTAGCCACATGACCTGGGGCAGAGCTACTTCTCCTCTATGGGCCTCATGGATTTACCTATAAAAAGGGACCCCTGCAATACAGGTTCATCAGTGATGACAAATGTCCCACTCTGGTGGGGGATGTTGATCATGGGGGAAGCTGTGCAAAAGTGGGGGCAGGGAACATATGGGAAATCTCTGTATCTTCCTCTCGATTTTGCTATGAATCTAAAACTGCTCTAAAAAAATTGTCTGAAAATTATTTGTTTTAAAGGGACATCTGCCCCACTCTCACAGAGATCTTATGAGGCTAATGGAGGAGAAATCTATAGGATTAATATAGGTATACAGGCCAGCTATTAGTAACAGCAACAGCTATTGTTTTCTGAGTACTTGCTGTGTACTAGGTATTATCCTAAGGATGCATTATCTCATTTAATCCTCAGAACGAATTGTTTTAAAATTCCTGTTTTGTAGTTGAGAAACTGCAGGGCCAGAGAATGTTAAGTGGCTTGTTCAAGTCCCCCAGCAAATTAGTGATAGAGCCCAGATTTACATCCACGTTTGTCAGACTCCAAGTCCAACACGCTCCTTCTGCAACACCCCTCTGCCCTCGGAATTCTTACCCTTGAGCCAGCTCTCCTGGTCCTACGTTGGAGTCTGACTGCCAGATTATCATGGAATTGGCCCTGGCCTTACTGGCCCACATCTAGCAAGGGGCCCGGCCAGCTGCCAGACTCTGCTTGCCACTTTCTACACCATCTCAGGGCTCAGCCTTGACTGTCCAGAGGCCCAGAGCTGTGTCCATTCTGCAGCTGCCCAGCGGCCAGATCCTGGTCCTGGTCTGTGCATGCTACTAGATCTGGACTTCTGCCTGCCGGGGGATGGGTGAGGACAGAAACCCTCCGCCTTTGTCCTGTCTGCTCCCCATGCCTGTCGGTGACCTGGTCACTTGGTACACCATTCACAAGCACTTTTTCAGATGGAGCCCCAAAATGTGGCATCAGCAGCAGGCCTTAAAAAGACAGCCTTCCAGGCTCAATGCTTCCTTCCTTTCTCCTGGCTTAAGAAACAACCACTAGGCACTGTCAGTCCAGGCCATTCTCCCCTAAAACCTCTTCTGCCACTGCTTTCTCTTTCTTGGGCAAAGCCTCACCTCCACCTTCACACTGAAAACAGAGGCCACAAATAGGGACATGAGTCGTTCAAAACAAGGCATCGTCATCTGTTCTGCTTGTCTCCCCTGTATCTCAAACAATCAGTCCTCTCTCCTACCTCGAGGAGGAGCGGCTTCTCTCCTGACCAGGGCGATGACACCATCTCTGCTCTGGACCCTTCCTCCCATGCACTCTGAGCTCTCCTCCTCGCCATCCTCTCTCTGGGCCACCTGAGCCACTCGAGGCTTCCTCATCAAGGCCACTCTTCCTTATCTCTTTAGCTGTAGCCCAGATCTTTCTTTTAAACCCAAACCTTTAAAACCACTTGTGTCCTAGACATTTCCCCCTGGAAATATCCCATAGGCACTCGGACTCATCAGATCCAAGATGGAATGTGCTGCCTCCTCTCGCTCCCGACACGTACCTGACCCAAAAGAGCACTCTGTCCAGTGCTCTGTGTTTACATCAGTGCTTCTCGGACCTGAGGGGCATCACATGGAAGACATGTGAAGGCAAAGACCGCTGGGCCCCGCCTCAGAGTTTCTGAGTCAACAGGTCTGGGGTGAGGCCCGAGAATTTGCCTTTCTAACAGGTTCCCAGGACTGCAGTTTGAGAATGGGTGAGCTGGTGAGCAACATCACCAGCCCATCTTCTCTTCTGTCAACCGGAACACTCTATCGATGACCGAATCCTGCGCTTTCCTCCTCCAGGCCTCCCTTAACCCCATCCCTCTCCTCGGCATCTACCTCCTCACACTCTGGCTCTGCTCCAGCCCCTACACCACTTCCCTGCCTTCTCTTTTGGTCTCCCCTAATAGCACGTGGGCTCAGGGATACTGTCTGTCTCCTTCAGTGCTGGATTCAATTGCCTGGCACAGTACTTCACACAGTGTGGGTGTTCAGTAAATATTTGCTGAAGGAAGGAGGGAGGAAAGGAGAGGAGGAGAAAGAAAAAAAGGAACCCACACCCCAAGGAATTTTTGCTTCGGTCATGTTCCACAAAGATTGCTAGAGTAACCTTTCTAAAACACAGAAATTCACATTTTAATGACCTCATGCTCCTACTTAAAAAGTTCAAGTGATTTTCCATGGTCTCCGGGATGAATTTTGACTTCGCGCATGTCATTCGAGACCCTTCGAGCCCTGGCCCAGCCTTCCTTTCCAGCCTCTTCTCTCCCTTCCTTTCCCCCACACACTTGACATTCACTTCATTGACCACATACTAGGCCCCTTCACACCCTAGCCCTGGTGCTTACCGTTCCCACCGCCTCGCCTGGAATACGTTCCCCCATGATTGCACTTCAATTTCATCCTTCAAGTATAGCTCGAATGTCACTGCTTAGATGAAGCCTCCCCTGGCTCCTATGGTATCACCCACACCTCTTCTCCCCATGCTCCCTGAGAAAGCATAATGATGAAGGCAGGAAAGAAACGAGAGCCACTCACATCACAGACCACGTACTGTGGTACTGAGCTCTCTCCTGAGGGCTTCACACCGATTCCCCTAGCTCATCCTCACATCGACCACTTGACAGATGTGCGATTATTGCCCCTCCTCCCATTTTACAGAAGTGGAAAGTGAGGTTTGGAGAGGTTCAGGTAACTTGTCCAAGGTCATCCAGCCAGGAAGTGGGAGAGCTGGGCCTTGTTCACCACTGTGTGCCCAGGACCAAAATGCTGGGGCACAGCGCATCAAATCTGCCCAGGATTATTATGTGGACAAACGAATACTAGCAGGCAGTATCTTTTCTTCAACTCTGTGTCCCCGTACTGGCAGATAGAGACTAATAAATGTTTTTGTAACAAATGAATGGGCAATGGATGGATGAGTAAATGAATGATGTAACTGCCTACGCATCATAGCATGAACTGAATTAAATTTAGCCCTATAGGCAACCTGATGCCATATGGGGAAGGGTTGAGGGGAGAAGAGCAACTGAGTGACCAGGGAGAAAAATGTGCGAGCCGGTAACTGGTTTGGGTTTATTTATCTTAAAATCTTTGTTTACTCAAAACCTACCTGGCAAGGTAGTCTAAATTAATGTAATTCTCTTCTTATGTGTATATCAGGGGTTCGGCAACAGAAAGCATTTGAAAACTTCTCGACAGCTCAAGATACCTCTGACCCAGGCACTGATACATGCCCCAGCCCCAACCCAAGCTCTTACCCCAGCCCTAGATACATGCATCCAGTTTTCACAATAATCGGGATGAGAGAACAGAGCAGAATGATTGAGGTGGACAGTAGGGCTTTCGGAGTCAGAATGCCTGGGTTTGACCTGGTTCTACTACTTATTGGTTGTGTGACCTTGGATAAGTCATTTTACCTCTCTGAACTTCAATTTCCTCATCTGTAAAGGGTGGAGATAAAAAAGAGGATCCACCTCACAGTTTTTGCGAGGACCAATGAGATCATTGCCCAGCACTAAAACCTGTGTACTGAATGCTATCTGTTCTGTGTCATCATTAAAGGATGTTACTGGACTCTCTTAAGAACTTGTGAACCAGGCAGAATCGGATTATTCCCATTTTACAGATGAGGAGACCTGAAGCCAAGGACCTCCCCTCCATAGGTCAGACAGCAAATAGGCAGCGGAACCAGTCTCTCGGAAGAAGGTCCAAAATCCTGAGCTTCCAAATTAGGTTCACCACACACCTACTGACCAGTACTACTGAAGTATTGACATCTACTGACCAAGGCGAGGAAGTACCTGAGACTTGAGAAAATGCATATCCTCCAGGAGGACAGGTCCTCCAGAAGGACTTTCAGGCACAATCCTCGGGCTTTGCCAATAATCAAATAATCAAATAGTACTATCCTTCCTTTACCCCTGCTGTTGCTGAGATGGCCCAGATAACTGAGACCCACAGGTTCCACCTCCCACATTATTCAATTTGGAAAACTGAGGTCTGACCGGATGCCCTATGGCAACTATGACTAGACAATTTGACCCTATGTCCCAGGCCTGACACGAGGAGGGCAGATGAGGACTTCTCACAGCAGCCGGTGGTGTTGGCTTGTTATCTGGCTGTTTCGGGGGCAAGGGTGCTGGTCAGAGAGGAAAACCTCCTGGGTCCTACTTACCATGGTGGTCGATATGGTCTCTGTGGTGATGGAGGGAGCAGTTGTTATGAACTCCTTCCCCCCTGGGGCAGTCCCATCAACCTGCTGGGCAGAGGAGGAGTCATGAGAGAGAGAGCTAGCAAGAGCACGAGTGAGCACCAAATACACCTGCAGCATCTGTCACCTAGGCTCGCAACATTCCCAGTTACAAAGTGACAGGCTAAGTGAATGAACATGTATTTGGTGGAGGTGGTGGCCACACAGAGACCAAATTACAGAGGGGCCTCACAGCTCCTTCAGTTCATTTCGGTGTTATTTGATAAAAGAAAAATAATCTTCGACGATTTGATCAATTCTAGTCAAATTTCAATGCATGTACTTTTTGATTTGGTGATCCCATTGCTAGGAATTCACCCTTTGGATATAAACCTTGAAATTTTGCCAAGAAGTATGAACAAGGAAGTTCCCTGCAGCACTCACTGATGCTGCAAAAGACAAAAACAAGCACAGGTCCACTGATGGGAGACTGCGTGAAAAATTAGGGTCCACTCCTGAGTAAGATGGGTTCACATATGCCAGCAAGGAGTGATCTCCAAGAAAATTATTTTTTAAAAGTAAGAATAAAAGAGAACAATCTCTTTTCAGTGAAAAATTTCAATATCTAGAGATGTAAGTATATATGTTGGTATATGCATACATATTTCTCTGGGAATCACAAGAAAAATTTCAATTTGTTCTGTTTGAATTTTGTAACTGTGAATATTTTGTTGTTGTTTTGTTTTGATGCCAGTAAGAATTACTGAGCTGTGGAATTTGGACCCATTTTTAGTTTTCTTTATATTTCTCTGTGTGAAAGCAAATCCAGAGTCTCGACCGCTGTGCTAGCAGCCTCATAAACCCCTATGCATGTTATAAAAGTGGGAGGAAAACATTCTGGAAACGACAGAGCTGCCCATGCTGTGTTGGTTTAAATTTAATTTTAGTTTTTGAGACAAACACTGGTCTCCAGGGCAAGAAAGTCCTCAGGGCGGCAGCTCTTCTGGCCAAGAAGAACCAAAACCCACAATCTCAAAGCTTAAAAACCACAAAAGGAACTTAGGAAATGCACTCTAAGTAGTGTGCCTGTGCCACTTCATGACAGTAACTTTCTGCAGGGTACTAAGTACATTCCATCTTGCTAAAACAAATTTTTTTTTTCAGTTTGTTCATTTTGCCAATCTGATATAGAACCCCTATGCATAAAAAAATGACCCAGCGTGAGCCATTCTGACTGAAGCTGGATTGGGTTCTGGCCCCTTCTCTCCCCAAGCAGCCTGCGGGGTACCTGGGTTACAGGAAACCTCTCCAACTCCTTCAAACAGTCTGAAGCCACGATCCTAATCCACTAGCCACTAGTCTCTATAAAACTCCCAGGAGGGCAGGGGAAACATATCATCCTGATTTTACAGGTGGAGAAGTTGAGGTTTTAAGAGGTATAGTCTGCCCAGGACAGGAACCCATTCCACTGCCCATTCCCAGAGCTCAGGGAGGACAAGAAAGCTTTGAAGAGCATCAGGGTTAAAATGGGGGCTCTGGGGGAGCCAAGGTGGCAAGGATTGGCCAAGGGGTTGTCCATGGTGGGGATCCCAGCCCCAAATGCCTTATAGTTGTGTTCAGGATACACTGGAAGGCACAGGTTACCTGGGTGTCCACAGTGGTGGCTCTGGTCTGCAGTACAGCCTCCGGCTCGATCTTCTTCCTGATGGCCAGGCTGCTGACTGTCATGGTTTCTGTTTTCACAGGCTGTAGGGAGATGAGACATTCCATAACTCAAGCCCAGGCATGAGTCCCACTCACAGGCAGCTGTGGTATAGGGTCAGCAGGTTATCTCCCACCCCTGCAGCTGGCCAAGTCTCCAGAAGGGTATGCCGATCAGGCCAAAAGAGGGTTGGTGTGACATCACAGACTAACAGCTCAAAAGAAGAGCCAGAACTGCCAGCAGCACCCAGCAGGCCTGCCCATGACCCTGCAACCACACAACCTGGTGGTGACTATACGCTGCGCTTTAGGCTACCATTAAGTGAATATCTACTATTCAGGTAATATGCTCTATGCCAAACCCCACACTAAGTATTTTCTCTATATATGTAACGCTGAATCGTGAATGACTGCAATGGTTATGCCACCACCTCTTAGCTGCTTCATTTGAACTGTTCTTTAGACCAGGAGTCACATACCTGGAGGCCCACGGGGGCCAGGCAGGAGATATAAACAAGTGGGCTTGTTGAAGACTGGGGTGAACTGGAGAGCACATGGGGTTCTACTCAGGTTTGGCCAACTGTAGCCACGGCTTCTGAATGACTGGATCATCTGACCTTTTTTAATGATATGAAAAAACTCCTGGATTTTATATTCAATATCCTGGTTTTTAAATCAAGGTCAAAGAAAACACATCTGCTAGCCAGATCTGGCCCAGAGCCACCAGTTTACAACCTCTCCTCTAGAAGTCTGAAGAAGTCTGAAGTTAAAGGATCAGTTTCTTCTGAGTCTTCCACTGGGTCTAGTTCACGGCAATATGTACAGCAGCTATTACCATACGTGAGCTGAATGGATGAATGAAAGCTAGCTTGTCATCTGGGTGGGAGGGTAGTGAGAGGAGATTCTTAGAGATGGTGGTAACCTGGAGATCTATCCATTCACTCAATCATCTATTAGTGCCTGGCATGCGCAGGCTTAGAGAAACTGCCACCTGGTAGGAAAGCAGACCTGTTGGTCACTAACCTGACCACTTGGTATACTGCTAGGAGAAAAGCATTACCGAGCAAGGGGGCTGTGGAGGAGACAATACTTTTCTGCCCAGGGTGGTCAGGAAAGTGTTTGCTAGGAAAGTGACATCTAAACTCTCTTCTGGAATATAAAAAGTTTGCAAGGCAGAGAAAGGAAGGAAAGCTCTTCTACCCAGAAGGTACAGTATGGAGTAAAAGCCCAGAGTGAATGAGCTCATCTTTCAATGCCTAACGGATAGGGAAAGGGGAGTGTGGTGGGAGGCAGGCTGGGGCTGGAAGAGATGAGGGAGCAAAGGAATAACGTGACAAAGATCTTCTGGAGGAAAGACACAAAGCAAAGAGGCCCAGACACAGTCTATCCCTGTGCCCCCTCGGTGATGATGTTTTCTCTTCTCTAGGAGTTTCCACTGCTGCCCCAGGGCCAGATGGATTCAGAATGCTGCCCCTTCCCTGGGAAGCCCAGGCCCCAGGGAGAGGAGGCCAGGGCAGGATCAGCAAAAACCATCGACTTTCAGACTGGGCCATGGGAGGCCCCACAAGTCCACGAGCACATGCTCTCTGCAGCGCCATGCAACACAGGCGGGAGAGGAGCAGCCGACTAAGACCAGACTGCCCATCGCCTCTTGAAGCGATGGGGTGACAGGGTTAAAACGCCAAGGAGTGCGTGTTAGGGGTAAACCGAGATGGCAAACATGCGAGCACAGAACCATGCTGGTCTGTGGAGGGGCAGTCATGCAACATGAGACAGAGCTCCAGGTTGAGGGACTCTGGGCTGCAGGCTGGTGGCTTAGTCTTCTCACAGATGGCCCAGGGCCCTCTGAACATGCAGTATCCCGTGGGCCCAGTCTCGATGATGCTCCACAGTACCTCAAACTGGGGCATATCCGGGGTGGAGCAGGCCCCTCGATCCGGGCTGTCCTCGATGCCCCCGGACTCATCATCCTGGCTGGGGCCCCTCTTGCTAAGATCCCGGGAGAACACCAGGCCCTCGGTTTCTGAGTCACTTTTGTCTCGGTCGAGCTCAGGAAGGCTGCGGGAGAAGTCTTCGAAGGCGCTGCCGTGGTAGTCACCAATGACCGTGAAGTCGACCTCAGCCTCCAGGCTGGATGTGGAGCTGACTGTGATGCTGGAGCACTTACGCTCAATGGCCAGGTGGTTGTCCTTCAGGAACACCGCGTCCCTCTCCTGGTCCTGGTCCTCGTCTCCTGTGTCACTCTCTGGGGCCCTGGGACGTGGTGGTTTGACTTTCTCTTCCGAGCCCTCCCTCAGCCCTGCTCTCTATGGCCAGATAAAATCAAAGGAACAGGGGTGTGGGGCGAGAGGGAGAGAGAGAGAAAGAGAGAAATCAAGATGGTGAATGACAGAAGAAATCTCGGGGCCACGTTGATGTCCCAAATGGAAGAGAAGGTCGGGAAACAAAAAACAACCCCAGGGAAAGGTTCTCTGGTATCATAACAAGCTTAAAAAAACCGAAAACTCCACGAGAGTGGGAAATGCTCCTTTCTGAGGGTCTCCTGCTGATGGCAAAGCAAGTACAAAGCAAACTTCCTGCCAGTTGTCCTGGACAGGAGGCTCCATCCAACATTTGGATCTGGGAGCTAATCGGAAGCAGCATTGCGCGCAAGGCAGGGATGGGAGCCTGGGTCCCAGGACCATCCGTGCAGGCTGGCATCGAGAGAAACCACAGAGGGAAACCCAGGGATCAGAGAAACCCAGGCTGGGGAGGCAGAGAGGCTGGAGCCAAGAGCTTTCAAGAACAAAGAGGAAGCCAGCACGGTTTGTCAATTCCACTGAGTCTCCACGGGAGGAGTCGGCATCATCTTGAGGGAGGAACAATATAGGGTGATTCCTGGGAGCTGGGTGCTACATCAGTTCAACCCTAAGCTCCATGAGTGGGTGGGCAGGCAGACCGCGGGGTAGAGGTTCTGGTCCCATCAGTGTAATTGACAACAGCAGGCCAAGGAAATGCTGGAGGGGAACCAGCAACTCTTGTCTGACATACATACCTCTCAACTGTCAGGGATTAAACACCATACACATTTGGGGCTGGTTCATGACATTCCTTTTTAAGACCAATCTAACACCCACCAAATATTTTTTTAAGTATTTGGCTTCAGGTTCTAGAGATTCAGTGCACTTAGAAAGTCACTTGCTTAAACAAGCGTCCACTTAGCCAGTTTCTGGAAGGTTGAGAGGTGTGAGGACACACTGCAGACAAGCCAGAGTTGAGCTTCCGCACGAAGCACTGCCAGAGCAGGTGGGAATCTAAGGCAGAGATGCGCCCTGGCCAGACGAAGATGACCGGGTGATCAGGGCACCAAGGGGCTACAGAGACCTGAGGGCCTGAGGGACTGGCGAATCTCAGGCGCCCCCCTTTCCCAGGGGGGTTTGCTGCTAAACTGGTGACGTGCTTCTCTTCCCTGACCGCGTCTCCGGATTTGTTCTGGATTAGAGAAGATAGTTAGTCTTAAGGAGGCAGGAGAGAACTTGGCACTGGGATGGAGAGGGAACCAGAAGTGAAGGATGGAAACTGCTAGACTGTCAGCTTCTCCAAGGCAGGAGAACCAGGGAAGGGAAAGGATGAAGGAAGGTCACTGGACAAGCCAAGCAAAACAGGTAGAGACCCGGCAGGTGGGGGGCAGCAAGGCAAAGCAAGTATGTAGTTTGCTGGCGGTAGTACCGCCTTCTCTACGGGGGCTGTGTGACTCTCTGGGCACCAGGTCACCAAAAGCTGAGGGTCTCTGTGGCGAAGCTAACATAGGCCAAGCAGATGAACACGTCATTCTGCCTGGGCTACACTCAGGCCCATTTAGGGAAAAGAACTCATAGGGATGAACAAGCAGCCTATGATTGCACTAACGACGAGGGGCTAATAAAACATGCTTCTAAAGAGCTACGCAGCATGCGGTCAGCTCCCCCCGCTGGGGACAGCGTCAGGGGCAGGGGCTCACGTGGCCAGTTCCCCCAGTAGCTTCCTCCAGCGTAGTTTCACAGCCCGAATCTGGGGAGATGAGTTCGGGCTCCATGCATCCTTCGTGGTGGAATGCGGCAGACGTGCCCTCCCTGAAGTATCTGGTAGCAGGTGGCATCACTGAGAAATGTGCGGCCTTGGGGCTGGCAACGTCCTCTGGGGCCTGGAGTTGGACGAAGCCCAGGTCCAAAAGCTGATTGCGCTGTTGCTCTACCTGCCCTAGGGAGGCCTCCGAAGACAACTCACTCGGAAAGAGCCTTGTTTCGCCCTGACTCACTCGGCGAGCTTCAGCTCCATGGGTCTCAAAGATCCGAATTTTGTTGGCCACCGAGGTCTTGCTAATATCTTCCAGGGAGCCCTCTTGGCCTCCAATCTGGAAAGGAGTCATCTCCTTTTGCTTCCCTGCAGGGAACCCTAACCTCAGGGGCACAGCCCCCTCGATTTCTTCAAGGACAACTCTAGGCTTTCTGCTGGCGATGGGAGGTGCTCTGCGCTCACCTCTGTCCAGAGTCGCCACTGGCTCTACTCGGTCCTTGGGCTCCGGGCTCTCTTTAGGAGGATGGGCATGTTTGAGAAACATAGGAGATTCTTCCCCAAAAGGATCTCTGAGCTGCAAAGGCTCCTCTAACCCACGAGGGGCTGGGCTTGGAGAAGCATCCTCTGGAGGTGCCTGAGCCTGAAAGGGACCGGAGGAGGTTGGGAGTGGGCTGATCACCTCCATCTGAAGAAACGCCATCTGAACCTTGCTGTTCTCCGTCGCAGGTTCTCCTGTTTGGGTGTGAACCAGTCCCCTGTCTTCAGGCAGGAAGTTTCCTCTGTCTGGTTTGGCTGGCTTCCATGGAAGGGCACAAGGCGGGACATCTGGGTGCACACCACCTGCTCTGTGAGGTGAGTGGTTCTTCCGTCCTGCCAGGGGACTTTTCTCAGCCTGTCCCATCAAATCTCCACTCCTGGGGCCCTCTTCCTCTGTGGCAATAGTGGATGCTGGGTGGGTAAATTCTCCTTCCACCCCCCGCCCAGCCTCTTCCCAGTCCTCAGCAAATGTCTGCCCTGCAGAAGATCTCTTACTGAACTGCTCGAAAAAGATTTCCAGGTCATTTGGTCTTCGGCGGTTCCTGTGGGGTCCCATCCCTTCCTCCAAGGAAGCTGTGCGCGCTTCACTGCCTTCATCCTTGTTCCTGCTGGAGGCTGCAGTAGAGCCCCACGGGTCCAAGGAATTCAGCTCAGAGCTCACTGCAAGCTCCTCTGAGAGCTCCGGCCTCGTCTCACCTCCAGGAGGGGGTTCCAGGTGCTCTTCTCTCTTCTCCAGTGGTGGAGGGAGGATTTGGTCTTCAAAATCTTTCTCTCCATAGTTTAAATAGAAGCTCCTCTCTGCAAAGGAAGTATCGGTTTCATCGCTTGAGTCGGCTCTGGCTTCCACATGGGCTGAGTCCAGCAGAAATGACTTGAGTCCTCCCTTGTCGGAGGCTGGAGAGGGGACATCCGCTTCTGCTGGCCTGGTCCCCGGGACAGTGGTTCTTCCACAAGTCTGGAACTCCTCCAGCTGCTTCCTCAGCTCCGTCTGGCCCTCCAGCTGACCACCTGAGACACAGAGCTTTCTGATGGTTGCCTCCCCAGTGCCCGCCCTGAACTGGGAGCTCTCAAGGAGCTTTTCTGCTAGTATGCATCCTCCTGGGCCTTCCCTGACCGAGGGGCCTTCCTCCCACACTGACTCGAAGTCTTCAGGACTTGCGATCATTCTTCCTTTTTGCTGGGTGTTCGCTCTTCTGGCTCCCACCATTTCTTCTGTGGCCACTTCAACTTTGAACTTGTCTACCAGGACGTCTACCTTGGAGAGTCTGCCATCGGCAAGGGTATCTGCGAGGCCTGCCTCACTTTCTTCTTGCTGCGTGGCGGCCACTTTTAGAAGTCTGAGTTCTTCTGGCCTAGTGTACTTTCTTTCAATAAGTACCCAATGCTCTGAACCCTGTGTTTCAATCAGAGCAAGGAGAGTTAACATGAAATATCAGGCACCTGAAGAACGGGTCACCTTTTCCCTCTGCAAGGAGGGATTCATCTACCACTGAAAGGTCAACACATCCCCAGAACTGGCTGGGGAGGGGAAGGTATGACAATGCCAGTCAGCCTCATCAAGGCTCCTCTTCCCATCAAAGCACTCAACAAGTTATTACCAACTCCCCTCAACCACTGCCCCAACTTGGTAAAATGGGATGAGGTCTCCTGCCCTCTCCGTGTTAACCGTGGGGAAATGGAGATCCACGGATGGGCCAGGACTCTTCATCTGCCTCTTCTAATAATATAACTGCCACTGTCAGAGGGGAAAGTAGCTGACATCGCATGGAATCTTTGAATGTCAGAGCCAAAAGAACTCCTAAGACACTTCCCATCCAATCTCCTCATTGTGCAATTGGGTAAACTGATGCCTAGAGAAAGTCAGTGACTTACCCAAGGTCACAGTAAGCTGATGGTAGAGTCAGGAAAAGAGTGCCTGATCTTTGATGCCTGAGATCTTTGCTGACTTATCTCACAAAATATGGAATATGGGTCCCAACTGTGATATAATGTCAAATTGAGGGGAAGCACTGAGTTAAGTTCCACGGATCACAGCCTAAAATCTGACCTTTCTGCAAGAGCTTCTGGAAAGAGATTAGATCAAAAAAATACCAAATGGCCAGCTTCTAGAGAGGTTAGTGCCCGTCATCACAATGGCGTGAACAGCTTGAATTTTGTGGGGTTCATTCCCAAAGAAACAGATACCAAGGCCTATTCTTGAGGAATTCTAACAAAATCCACAAGAGTGAAAGGACTGACCAGAACACATCACAGAAGGAAACGACCAAAAGACACCGGCGTCATCAGAGGTCAGAAGCATCAACGAGAGCAAAGCGCTGTCAAATGGTCAACAAAACAGCCCTCCACCTCCCCTGGAGTCCTCTGGACGATGCTTAGGAGGAAAATGATGGACTTCTAGAATCATTCAAAAAGCAAGAAGGCCATTGGGATCTTGAACTTACAGCCACAGAATACATTGTTCACACACAATCTTAATGGAAGTCCAATATGTAACACAAATATGGGGCTGTCCTGTTGAAGTTGGGGACCTGGGCTGTCCTAGTGCCCTGAAGTGCTGCCCTCCTTTGAAATCACTGCCCCTCATGGTACCAATGTGGAAACTGAGGCCATTTCAGTTTATACTGTCATCAGCCTAGCAATGATGGCCAAAGATGGTCCATGAGACTCTCTCTGGAACATTCCTGCCCCAAATCTAACTAGAAACTAGTTTTTAAGAAACTAGAAGCTTAGAAACTAGAAGCTTAGAAACTAGGCTGAGTGAGGTGGGAAGTGGCACGCAACAGAAAGATTG